AATACTGCTTGCTTGCAACAATTTAGGTATCTACTGCCCCTATCGCCAGGAAAAACACACACTGTCACATTAAAACCACAACATTTGTCTTTGAAGAAAAGAAGTAATATTGGTTTATAACAAAGACAAAATGAACTTATTTAATGTATCCACAGATTTGCAGGGTGCTTCCTGTAAAGTCCTGCGTAGTTGGATCTAGTAATTGTAAATCTCCAAGTAGAGAATATTTGGTTACTTTGTGGACTGATTACAACTATTCTGTGCACTGACTGAAACTTTAATTTGTATCCACCAATGTCTCACCTCAAACAGACATCTTGTCACAATATATTTAAAAAACAATGTGACCTAAACAGGACATTTGTTTGGATTTTCTCTCAGAGCTTTGTTCAGCTCCAGGTCAGTTCATACTCACCTCAAGTTCAACAGTAGCTGCAGCTACAAGCAAAACTCTACTCGCTTGCCACATTTGACCCCTCTCTTTCTTGATCAGCTGAATGCTTTCTTCAAATATTTTGACCGAAACACAAATAGTGTAAGGGCTCTAACTGGAAGTCAAACATCCCCACTAAAGGTTGGTTTATGCTTGACGCGTCCGTGAGGTCCGCACGGCTCCCCGCGGAAAAGTTGGGTCGTTTTAACAACCACGCCCCTCCACCGCGCCTCCGCACGGCCCAAACTTTCCGCACCGCGCACCTAGGAAATTTTCGAACCACGCAGACGGTTGGATGCGGAAAAACATGGCGGACTGGCAAGAACTACTATGGCAGAGGTCCGTAAATACAGACATTTGTATGATTCCGCTCTCAGAGATCACCGTGATCAACATGTTGTTAATAATTCTTGGCGAGAAATAGCTCGTACTGTCGGAAAAGACGAGGACGCTGTTAAAAATGCTGGAATACCATGTTGTAAACAACAGTAATTTCTACTTCTACCATGGTGTAGTGTTGGATGCATGCCGTAGAGCTCCATGCTGCCCCCTACAGTTTGGGAGAACATTGGCTCACCGCAGAAACGAGCCGCATGAACCATAAACGCTGCAAGTTGTGAAGCGCGTTCCATCCGCGAGCCGCATCACCAAGCGGAAAGTGAATGCGTCAAGCATAAACCAAGCTTTACACACCTCCAATTCACATTCAGAAAGGAGGCTAACAGTAGGGCTGCTTACTAAAAGGTTGATGCTGACCAGAAGGAGGGCAACCAGGTCATGCTGTTGGATCTCTGGTTAATATTGCAAAACAATAGATGGAAAATTTATGTTCTGAGAATTTTTAATTCAACTGCCAGAAAGATTAAAAAGAAAAAAGAAGCAAACGTTGCTGGTTTATGTGAACTAACTTCAAATGTCAACAACAGCTAGATATTGTTTAGTCTGGTTTGGGTTGGGCGGTAAACCAAAAATTTACACTTAACCACATTTATAACTCTTACCGACATCTTTTTGCCCATGTCGGTAAGTCCAGTATTAACAAAAAATAATAGTAATAACGCAGGTTGCCATGAGTGGTGATCAGCGGGCTACAAACAGTGATGGCGGTAGATTTGGTCGAGGAGAAGGTGTTCTAAAAAATACTTAATCATTTGGTAATATTATGGATTCAGCAAAGACGATGTGATGAAGACAAAAGACCAATGTTAACTGTGCAGAAAAGCTGCAGCATCAAGTCAAGGTAACACATCCTCCTCCACCTTCAGCACAACCAGACTTTATAGTGAACCTGAGTACCTGACAACTCACATGTGACCATGTTCACATGATGCAGCTCTTTGTAATGTCCAGATTTAGAATATGAGAGATTGTGTATGAGATACTTTGTGTCTGCAGGGAGTTTTTGTTATTTTGCTTTTCTACTTGTTCAGTTGTGCTTGGTTTATCTTTCAGTCTTAACAACAAAAAGTTCTCAATTCTAGGGCTAGACGATACTGATTAGTAGAGATGTGGTGCAATAGGAAAGAAATGGATCACTAAAAAGTTTCCTTTTTCCATTATTGCCTATCTGGTACAATGGTGCCCCCTAGGGGGTGGCAAGGGGTGGCAATGGCCACCCCAAGAAAATAGCTGTTTGTTGAAATTGCAGTATTATTCTTTAACAAGTGAATTTATACGTCAGATGTGTACTCTGAGCTACTGGAGTGAGTTTCATTCCAACATCGTTTATTTTTGGACTGTGGGACACAATGGCCTGTATTTGATATAGCGCCTTCTAGAGTCCGGAAACCCCCCAAGGTGCTTTACAACATATTCAGTCATTCACCCATTCACACCCTGGTGGTGATGAGCTACACTGTAGCCACAGCTGCCCTGGGCCACACTGACACAGGTGAGTCTGCCATTCACAGGCGCCATCGGTCCCTCTGACCATCACCAGCAGACGGGAGGTGGGGGGGTGGGGGGTTAAGTGTCTTGCCCAAGGACACAACAACAGCGACAAACTGAGTGGGGCTCGAACCTGCAACCTTCTGATTACGAGGCGAGCAATTAACTCCTGTGCCATTGTCGCCCCAATCTTCGCTGCCCCGGATTTTGTCCAGTATAACAATAATCCCCAGACTGGTATCCTGTGTATAATTTATTGATGCAGATCTGTGCATCATTCAGTAGATTTTCACAAAAGAAATTAAGGATTTTCTTTCCTTAACAGAACGGACTCTTAGGGAGCATACAGAGTATTATACTCAATAATACAATAACAAATTCTTTGTTTAGTTATTTTTTGAGTTATCAGACCTCCAACTTTAAATATATATTGTGGAAAAGGCCACCTACTTAATTGCAGTAATGTTTTTCCACAGAACGGTGGTGTTTTCTCGAGCCTGTTGACCTACAGGGTCTACAGGCTACAGGGACAAACAACCCAGATCTGCTCTTGAGCATCAGCAGAGATGCTCATAAACATTTAGATGGGCTTAAACTGTTATGCTGTTGGGTTAAAAGGCAGAATTGTGACCCGTTATTAGGAACCAGGGAGCAGAGACAATAATCCTGACTCACTGACTTTAAAACCTTCGTCTTAAACGTGTTCACATAAAACCGTCCTTTCTTTCATTTATCTACCCAAAATCATGAATTTTTCAGGAACCACACTGATAACAAGCATGTTATTATTAGCTATATGTTTAAAAGTAGCCTTGCCGCTTGTAGTTCTAATCATTTAAATGGTAAATGGCCTGTATGTGATATACAGCCGTGTAGCTGTATATATAGCCGTGGAGAGAGGGCTTTCTCTGTCTGTGCACCGAAGCTGTGGAACGCATTACCACTGCTAGTAAGGCTAGCACCAACAGCTAGCATTTTTAAATCACGCTTGAAAACTCACTACTTCAACCTAGCTTATACAACATAATTATGACCATCACTTACATCTGCATTGTTTAAAAATGGAGTTTACAATATCAACTTCCGTACTATTGAGGTTCTTTTTTAAAATGTTTTTCTAATTTTTTTATTCCCCCTGTGTCTTATTGATTTTTAGCTGTTAGTTTTTGGGAATTTTGTTGTATTTCCTTTTTATCTTTTATCTGTGTTCGACATGTTTTTATATCGCCTGTTTAATTAACTAACATTTTTGCTGTACAGTGCCTTGTTTGGTTGTAATGCCTTGTGAATGCGCTTTATAAATAAAATTAGATTGGATTGGATATAGCGCCTTCAAGAGTCCTGGACCCCCCGTCATGTGATATCTTAAAAGCAACAGATTTACATTTTTATTCTGAGTTCAGAGATTGTTCAGGGGCTGACTGATGTTTTTGTGTGTGCGCGAGGATCTACAATTAAAATTCACCATCTCACCAGCTGTGCTGCCAGGCTCCTCATCTCCAAAATGTGCCTATGCCAGGGTCAGAGTTTGCATTAAGTTGTGAACATTTTCCCTTCAAGGTACTCTTCATAAATCACAAACTTTGAATGACTTCCTCAATTTTCAGACCGTGTTTTGTGCATAAGCAAGCTTTAGAAATGAGGCCTTGGGTTTCTCGACCTCATTACAATTAGGTCAGTCATGTTGGGCTGCTGTCCACATTCATTATAGGCCTCAGGGTGCACAAACCAGTAAGACCTCAAACCCCAGAATGCAACAGAACAGCAAGCATTTCCAACTGTGTGCTCTGCCCTCCAGTTTTGACTGGTGCAGCCTCCTGCTGAAACTGCAGCTACGTAGTGAATAGTCAGACCCAGGTGTAGGCAGAGTCTCCGTATCTGCTCACTTTGAGTGTGACGCTGATCTGATGCTGACGAGAAAAGCACTTGTCCAAAACAATGAAACAACGTTTGACTGCTTTACAAATTGGACTTGCTTCACATACTAATCCAGTGTGGTGGTGGAAGCTTAGCTAGATGTGTGAGCATGACTCCGTCTAATGGGCGGCTGATATCATAGTCACCGTGTCAGGGTGGATTTTAGTTGTTTTGATGGCCTGTTATAATTAGAAACAGGTTTAAAAACTGTCGATGGAGAGGAACACTTTGGAAGTGAAGCTTATTATTCCCCTATGAGTTCGATTTGAACCCGCACTTCTTGTGATTTGTCCATCTGAGACACCAGATGATTATCTTCTACATACATTGTTCCAGACTCCGATTGGACTCGGCCCCTGTTGAAATGTGACTATACGAACACACTTAGGAGATTTTAAAACACATTTCTTTTGAAGGTGTTGAGGTACGGCATTCTTCCGATTTGAGGATGAAAGAATGAGTAACCACTTCTGACCTCCCTCTATCCTTTCTATAAATAGCCTCACAATCCTATTACAATTATCCTGAAGTGTCCTAGCGAACGTTGCAAAGGAAGGACTCAGCTCTCACACAGCCAAGCCACTGGAAAGACTCTTTATAGACTTTTTGGACAGGAGTGGAAGGGTCAGAGTGTCCTACTAATAGCTAGAACAGAACTGTACTTTGTGACCAGATTACAGATTGTGTATTAAGTTTGTTTAGTTGCTTCTGAAGATGAAACATGACACAAGGCTAATATACAATGTGTGTTTTTGCCTTACAGATCCTGGCCACAATTTCCATCCTATTCATCGTCATTTCCACCATTTCGTTGTCTCTCAACACCCTGCCAGAGCTTCAGGTTGTAGATGAATTTGGCCAGTTCAATGACAACCCCAGTCTAGCCCATGTAGAAGCCGTTTGCATTGCCTGGTTCACCATGGAGTACCTGCTTCGCCTTCTGTCAGCTCCCAACAAGTGGGATTTCATCAAAGCACCGCTGAACATCATTGATCTGTTGGCTATACTGCCTTACTATGTGACACTTTGCCTAACTGAATCCAACAAGAACGTGATGCAGTTCCAGAATGTTCGCCGTGTGGTCCAGATCTTCCGCATAATGAGGATTCTGAGAATCCTGAAACTGGCCAGGCATTCAACGGGACTCCAGTCGTTAGGTTTCACTTTACGGAGAAGCTACAACGAGCTGGGCCTGCTGATTCTCTTCTTAGCTATGGGCATTATGATCTTTTCAAGCTTGGTGTTCTTTGCTGAAAAGGATGAAGATGCCACCAAATTCACCAGCATCCCTGCGTCCTTCTGGTGGGCTACTATTACAATGACTACTGTTGGTTATGGTGACATTTACCCACAGACACTGTTAGGAAAGATTGTAGGAGGGCTCTGTTGTATAGCAGGTGTGTTAGTCATTGCCCTTCCCATCCCGATCATTGTCAACAACTTCTCAGAGTTTTACAGGGAACAGAAAAGGCAAGAGAAGGCCATCAAGAGGAGGGAAGCTCTTGAACGTGCCAAACGAAGCGGAAGCATTGTGTCTATTAATGTAAAAGAAGCGTTTACCCGTAATATGGGACTCACCGACGTGTTGGTGGAAAAACGAGATGACAACCAATGTCCTGTTGACAATCACTTGTCTCCTAGTTTTTGGAACAACCAAAAGCACTACGCCAACACCGAGATCAGTAGCGCAGTCAGGTCCCAGCAATACCGTGAAGTCACTCAGCGGGGTTCTCCTGAAAGAGTCAAACCGTCATCAAACAAATCTTCTCCTCAAAAACTCGCTGGAACTGAAAACCCTGAGATGCAACGGAACAAACACACAGAGGAGATAAAAATGAATGCTTTGACCTCTGTTCAGGTCCAGCATGCTTCACATAAGGGCAGCAGTGCTGTAAGACTTTCCAATGTGGTTGATCCTTCTTCGTCAGAAAGAGCAGATAAAAGTTCTCTACCACCCAGTAATGAAGGTCTTGGTAATATCAGGCAACATATCCCCCCTCCCTTGGATCTAAGTCAGATCACCACTATGGAACTGAGTCAGAGACCTGGCAGCACCAAACCAATGACCGTCATAAAAGAGGGTTTGTACGAGTTTGGGCCGAGCCCCCGGGAAAGTGCAGCTGGAGACAAACATTTAGTGGCACAGAGAGCAGGAAGCATGGGCGCGACCTGCGACAGCACACACGACTATTTACATGATCTGCAAAAGATAAAAGATCTCAAGGTAGACTTCATCACATCTCAGGATGATGTCCTGACAGCTGTGATGACACCAGTTGGTACCCCGGCTTTTGTTGATTCCTCAAAGTTTGATCAGGTACTTTCTGAAGACATGATACCCAAGCATTCTAAATCACGTAGTTCTATAACACACCAAGCTAAGTCGATGCTATCTATTTCCCAATCGCCATCCTTGGCACAACAGTCTGCAGGTACAGGCAATCCTCAGGGGGAGGAAGAGGGGCCCGCAGGGCTTGTAGAAGGTGAAAGGCAGCAAACAGGCTTAAACCAGCAGGGACGGAACCACAGAGTGTCTCCAGCTGTTGGCTCAACCACTGGAGTAAGCCTCCTGTCTTCTAAAGCCAGCCCATGCAACTGCACCCAAGAGCTGGTAACTCTAGCTGGAGAGGATGCTGGAGGAGCAAGAGAAGAACCAAAGTACGGTGGGGGAAAGCAAGAGAACCACATAGTTCTGGATGGAAGCATGACACCTCCCAGCGAAACAAGCATGTGAGCTCAACAGTAAAGACAAGAAGGACAAAGAGAGATAATGTTGATGGAAAGTGCTACACAAGCTTCTAGAAGCTGTGTTAACCATCATCTAGCGTGAGCGAGCACACTGAAGCACAACCGGCACACCTGTCCATCCAGGTGGGGTTTCCGACACAAAACAAATGTCTTACAAATCAGGACTGGGGACTCTTCTGCTTTTTGAATTTTCTTGATGTATAAAAGCAGACCCCACTGAAGTGCTGATGACTTGGAGCACATGCACACTTGTACAATTTCAACAGACTTGTTAGTTGTAGTATTGCTCTTTTAAGATTTGACTGACGCACAGTCTGATCAGACTGAGAGCAGGCGAACGCCCTCAGTCTCCGATGAACATGACAAATAAGCCTTGAGTAAATCTTTTCATTTACTAAGACTTTATCTGACACACTTGGTGTCACTTCCTGTTCGCTTTTGCTTCGTACCAAGCTTACATCCCATCAGATTTATTACATAAGACATAGTTTGATATGCTTTTAACATTTGTCAAAGGTTAAAACCTATCTTAAACAAACAATGATCAGTTCATCTGTACGGATGAACAGATAGCACAGAGTAGCCAGAGACCATTAATGGCTTTATGTTTAAAAAATATAAGTTCTGTTTCATGGCCCTCCTTGTGTTATCAATGTTCTTTGTTGGTTTCCATAAGATGGTACCTGCACAAAACCTGGGCCTAAAGGCTAAAAGGGAGAGAATAGACGTATAATTCATCGCTTGCTGCGCACATTTCTGTGTAAGTACAACCTCCTAGATGATCTAAAACCAGAACCCCCAGCACACTTGTGTTTGGTCTCTGTGAGACTCGTGTCTTAGTGTGGCAAGGTGGAGAAACGAGGGCCCAGGCGGGATTCGATCCCCGGACTCCCAGGTGAGAGTCATGCATGCTAAGCAGTCAGCCAAAGGGACATCCCCTTGGCCAAGTAGCCAGGGTGCATGATCAATCGGGACACCGTGACAGGATGCTCACACTGCCACAATAGTAAAGGATCAGTTCATATTATCAGAATCTGTCTTAGTTTTCTTAGTTTTCATCATATTTATGTCAGTGAAAACTCGGATGTCCAATCAGTGCAGATTAGAAACGGCAACAGACGTTGATTTAACATGACTGGAATAGAAAAACTTAAATAAAGTGATCATCAAAAGAACTGATGCAAAAGAACAGCTTCTCATTCCTGTGAGTTGTGGTTTGTTTCATTTGCTTTACTTGTTTTTTTTTTTATCTAGTCATTATCAGGGGGAGTCAATCCTGCAGGGCCATGCTCCTTCATTTGTGTGATTGCCTCAGGAACAACATCTACATCTGTAATGGTTTTGGTTTGTAAGAGGAGCTCCTTCTGCCTGTACTGACTTGGGTCTTTGGCCCAGTCTCAATACCCGTTAGTGGTGCGAGTGCTCAGGGTGTTCCGATTCTCAAGTGTGGACCTTGGCCCTACTCCTTGATCTGCACTTCGCTGAAGTCCGGACAAAAGTGTGCTTCGGCGAAGGGCATTACCCACAAGCATGGACGTAATTTTCACTTTAGAAGTGGGGTGGGGTGGGGGTGGGGGGTGGGGGGGGTATCTTTACAGTATGCTCTAATGGGAAACAGGCTTCAACACAAACAGTTGTTTTCCGCTTGGTCCTAGAGCTCAACCAGTGTCAGTTTAATATAGCGTAATATTGTTTTTGGATGGTTAAAAAGTGCAGGGGTCAAAACTTGTCTTTGGAAAAAGTGTGTGTGTGTGTGTGTGGGGGGGGGGGGGGGGGGGGGCATGTCCCCCCTGTCCCCACCCCCCCAAATTACGTCCATGCCCACAAGCTGTTGCTGTCTGGGAAACTTGAGAAGGTGGAGAAAGGGCTCAAGTGCACTTTCCAAAAATCTGTAGTTTGAAGTATTAATCAAAATATTGACTATTTTATTATTGTGTACATATAGGCAATGATTACAATAAAATGTTTCTCTGTTGGAAAGATGTATTAGATGTCTGTTTGTCAAGCAGCCAAACGTCAGGACGAAGGAGTTAAAAGTTAATCTCCATTTATTTTTCCCAAAATAATTAACAAAAATTCCATAAGGAAGCAAATCTATCAAAAATAGAGACAAAAAAGGCTCAAAATCAAAATGGCAACTAAAACAAAGGTAACAAACAAATGTAGGGTTTGGTAAATTGAGTGCTTTAAGAGCTCAATATATATATTACCTTTACTTATGACCAATAAGCTGTGATACTCTATATAGAATATCAACCTGCTTGTTCTTTACTGCATTTTTCAGAAGATTCTAGGATTCTTTATTTATTAAGAGATTGTACACACTTCGTTTTGATTCAGGAAAGAGTCAGGTTTATATCAGCTTGTTCTGCAGGAACTCTTCGCTGTATCAGCTTCGCAGGTGCAAAAATATTTTGACAACGTGTCAAAAGCTTTGATGGTTAAAGAGGGTTTTGCTTCAGATGGCCGGTCTGAAGCTTTCTCTAGAACTGATGAATCACCAGAGCGATCCGGTTTTAATGTTCTCATGTTATGATTTGTGTAGCCAACCAGAGGTTGACAAATTGAGGAATGGTTACCAAGACAACCTCAGAAACACGCCTTCCTTGATACCGGATGCTCTGATCTGGGGTAAAGGGCTATCTATGTCTCATGGGTTTAACTTTACTTTACTTTGTCCTTGTGTGAGTGCAAATGGTGATGGCCTCGTCATGTCAACATGCTGAAACATATATCAATCTTTCAATGTAATCATAACGTAAAATTAATTTCAAACTTCTGTCATTGAGCACAGATTAATGAAACATTTAATTATAATATAATTATTATAAGTAGCAATAAACAAAGGTTTATTTAATGATTATCTAGCGTATAAGTTTTAGAAGTTCATGTTTAATTTAGGAAATCATTCTTTGATTTAGCAACTGATCCGAGCTGAAAAGGAGTGGAAAATCGTCTCTGATGCTGAATCCATGATACAAATACATTTTGTTCTGGGAATAACTTACAAATTATTTTGGAAAATATGGATTGTGAGATCACTAAACTTAAGAAGTGGTTTATGGGCAATAAATTATTTATAAATTGGAACAAAATGAAATTCATGATTTTTGGTAACAGGAAGACAGATGATTCTGTTACATTGTCCATGGATGGTACTTCAGTTGAAAAAGTGAATGAAGTAAGATTTTTAGGGGTCATCTTGGATCATAAACTTAATTGGAAACCCCACATAAAATATATAGTACAAAAACTGTCTAAAAGTATTGGACTTTTAAATAAAGTAAAAAGTATTTTTGGAGTCATCAACACTTCATATATTATATTATTCATTAATTGTTCCATACTTATACTTATTGTATAGAGGTTTGGGGCAACACATATAAAACAAACACTAATCCTTTGTTTTTATTACAAAAGAAAGCCACGAGAAATATATATAAAGTAGATGCTAGAGAACACACCAATAGAACTTTTGTTGAATCAAAAATTATGAAATTCAGGGATTTGGTTAATTTGAAAACTACTAATTATGTTCAGGGCCAAAAAGAGGTTACTGCCAGTAAAGTTACAGAAGTTTTATGTTTTTGATTTCAAATGATGGAAAAAATAGAAGGAAGCTGAGTTTAAAAGAGTTTTTGCACGAACAACATTAAAGCAAATGTGTATGGAGTAAAATTGTGGAATAATCTGGATCATGACCTGAAAAAATGTTTAACTACTGATCAATTTAAGAGACTATATAAAGAAAAAATCATAGAATCCTATGATTGATAAGTAAATAATGAATGAGTATGTAGATAAGTTTTATTGTGATTTTGTTTACAAACATAAGGAAGTTCTATACTTGGTTTGTGTATAAGGCCATTCTGTAAATTATATTGTATGAAGTAGAAAGGGGTAGGTCATACAAGACTTTTTCTTCCTCCCCCTTTTTTATTCACTTAGGAGACTGTTGATGATTGTATTTTGCATGAATGATGAATGAAACTGCTGAGTGAGAAAATAAATTTACAATTAACAATTAAATCCAGGAAGTGGAGAAAACTTGAATAACCCTAACCCTAACCAAAAATATCAAAAACATGAAATAAGGGAAATGAAGTCAGTTGTCTTAGCCATGGTGTTTATCAGGTCAATGTAAACCTACCGTTGGATAAATGTTGCCCTCTTGTGCCTTTTTGGTGTTACTGCACTTAAAATATTGACATTTTTCTAAGAAAAGGAAACATCAGTAACAAAACCAGTTTTGATCTAATTAAAAATACACACATGCACCTAACATCTTCATCCCTCTGTTAAAAAAACATTTTTATTATCACCTTGTTTACTGAAAATCCAGTTTAAATGATAAACCCTTCAGCAGTGAGCCCTTTATCTTCCATTGATAGGGCAAATTTAAACGAGTTCACACAGCCACCCGTCAGCGGCACACACTCGCCCTGTGCATGAAGAGCAGAGACAGAGAGAGAAGGTGGGTATAATCTAGATTTAGTTTTTATTTGGTTATTTTGCTGATTCCTCCGAGTGACGTCAGCGTGACGCCTCACTCCATGTTTTGCTGCCACACATCTCGAGACGTCGTACCGGAATGAGAGCTAGAATGCAGCGACGGTAGACCAAGCAGTTTAGCGTCATTTACGGTAGATTTTATCGAACGTGACGGGATCCGCAGAGTGCTCAACGCAGTTTAGCTGCGGGAAAGGACAGACGGGAAACAAAAGCTGATTTCTGCTGATTTATCAGGCCTGCTTCAGCCGGATCCAGAGTCCAGGTGAGCCTCAGCCTTCGCAGGGGCGGTCCCAACATTTTAATGTGATGGAGCCAAAACAGGAGAGATGCTCTAATCATCAATTAATTCCTGAATCTGATTCACATTTGTGATATGCAGTGCAAAAAGTGCCTGAGGAAATACATTAATAGCTGAATCAATTTGAACATGTCATTGATAAAATAAAATCTGTAACAAATCGTAAGTAAATAATGTTAATTTTATAAAATGTGCCACAAATAAAACACACATTTATAGAAATCATTTACAAATTTTGTTCTTTCTGTATATAATTCATGATCTTTGCTGCTTTTTCTTAATAATTTCTCGAAGTCAGTGGGCGGGGCTAAGGCTGATGACTGTCATGGGAGACATAAATCCTGACCCAAGTCTGTGGTAAAATAGAAAGGTCTTTTTTTTGGGGGGGTACTTGAAAGTTGTGCTTCTTTACTTTGTCAAGCAGGGTATGTAGAGATTTGTTACCCCATCAAAAATAGGTTTCCCACCAGCCTCTCTTTGTTTTTTGTACTAGTGTTTTTGAAAACGGAGATTGTTTTCCATTGCTGTCGGAATCACCGCCACTTCCTACTGACCAGTTTTCATCAGCTTCCCCCTCTTCACTTGAAGCAGCGTCATTTCTATGCTTGTTTCACTGAGAATGTTCTTCTAAACGCCGTTGTAGCAGCTATTTTACACAGCATTTGAACAGAGTCAGCGAGCACAAGCTGGAAAGTTGGTTTCTTAGCAACGGTGATGCCGTCTGTCATCCGCGAGGAAACTTTATCATGTAAACAATAGAGCCGTCAGACTGACGACTTGTGGGAGACAAAGACAGAAACAACCAGATTAAGAAGATGTGATAATTTCATATAAATATCCATCCATCCATGGTCTGAACCCGCTTAGTCCACGTAGGGTCGCGGGGTGGGGTGGGGGGGGGCTGGTATCTGTCTCCAGCAGTCAATGGGCAATCAGGCGGGGTTCACCTTGGACAGAGAGCCAGTCCATCGCAGGGCAACACAGAGACACACAGGACAAACAATCATGCACACACACATTCACACCTAAGAACAATTTAGACAGACCAATCAACCTAACAGTCATGTTTTTGGACTGTGGATGGAAGCCGGAGTACCCGGAGAGAACCCTCGCATGCACAGGGAGAACATGCAAACTCCATGCAGAAAGATCCCAGGCCGGGAAGCGAACCCAGGACCTTCTTGCTGCAAGGCAACAGCTGCACAGCCCCAATTTCATATAAATATGAAATATCAATCTGAACTATCATAGGTTGAAATATAACGTGCTGGTGGGGCTGCTGGCTGGGTAACGAAAGAGGATTAAGGTAAACTGGCCGAAGCTGGAGGCTTCCGGGCTTCTCTGGTCCACTGTGGTCAAAGATCCGCAAGGGGGTTTGCTAAAATTTGGTACCGTGTCTTTATCAGGGGCAGCCCTGAGATCAGAGATCTGCAAATCTGCCGCTCCAGCCTCCCACAGGCAGCCCAGCAAGATGGCTTCCCGGCTTATCCTGTCTCCCGGCCAGGAACAGCTGCTAGACGCAGGCTGCTTCCGTCAACCAGGGCAGCCTAAAGAAAATTACAACAAACCCTTTCCTTAAAAATACAATTGGCATTTGGTTCAAAGCACATCAGCGCATCGGTGACACACCCTCGATTTCTCAATTCTCTCCTGTCTGGGGCAACACTCATTTTGCCCCGGGCAGGGCAGATGGTGGTTTTAAAATCTGGGCTGTAACTCCAAAATTCCACTACCTCCGCTCCGCTCCGGCACGAACTCCGCAGCAAAATCGGTCCCGTTGTAGTCAATCAGAGCTGTTCCACTACTGCGGCCGTGCGGCGCAGTGCGCCATCCGCCGTTCCGCCATCCGGCAAAAATAGGATTGATTCTATTTTTGCCGGACGTCGGAGCACCTCCGCAGTCAATGGACAGAAATCACAACTGCCCAACAGGAAAGGGAGCAAGCACAACTTCCGTTATTTCACAATAAATCGATAAACAAAAAGCGTTTTTTGTTTCATATGCACAGGTTTAACAACTTTTAACAACTATCAATGGCGGCTGAACTTTAAATGCACAAAAGTAAGCCATAAATACAGTTTCCACTATCAAAGTAGTCACACTTTGTTGATCCAAACACTGCTGATCTCTCAACACAAATGATGGGCAGATTAAACAGTTCATTTCGATGCTTCTCCCACACAACGGATGTTTGGATCTAACTTCTGCGTTTATTGCTCTGACTGTATCGCAAGATCTCGAAAATTCCGTGCATGCCTGTTTGCGCACCTCAGGTCTCCGCACCGGAGCGGAGCCATTGTAGAGCGAGTACCAGTAAAAATTGAGTTCGGAAGCGAGCGGAGCGGAGGTAGTGGAATTTTGGGGTTAGAGGAGTGCAAAGAGTGGGGAATTTATATAACCAAGGCAACTTATTACCATTTACTGATCTATGTTTAAAATACTCACTTCCCAAAACACATTTTTTTAAATACCTTCAATTAAAACACTTTATTTCTTCAAACCACACTTAAATAGAAAATTAGGGATGTGTATTGGTGAAATTCTGGCAATACGATGCGTATTACGATATATTGCGATACATTCAGTCAGATGATATTGGCGATTTTTAGACTAAATTTATTATAGGAAAATTCAATAAACAGTCTAAACTGATACTTAACATGTTTAACCTTAACAGAGGGATTTACATTTCAATGTTAGAAACAAAAGCCATTACACACTGCTGCCAACTAGTGGTTGGCATTTGAATTGCACCACGAGAAAAGAAAATACACAAGTGTTTCCATGTAAATTCTTCCAAAAATTAGATACACGACTTTTGAATATCGATACATTTTCGCAAGAAAAAATATCACGATATATTGCGATATCGATATTTTCGATACACAGCTTTTGAATATCGATATAATATTGCTGGGGAAAATATCGCGATATATTGCCATAATCAACATTTTCTTACATCCCTATAGAAAATGAGCCACCTTCATCATGTCTGGAAAACATTGTGCATAAACATTTACGTGGTAGATGGCAAATCTCCATATTGTACGCAGCGTTACTGTCACATGACAAAGAATCCAGCAATGATAAACTGTCAGCATGGAGATCGGATATCCCAGATAATATTGAAGAGTCTGAGTGGATCACAGCTTGCTTAAGAGCTCAGACACAGACTATTAACACAAGGAATAAGCTATTGCAATACAAGTGGCTAATGAGGACATATATCACACCGGAAATGCTGAATCGGTGGTCCCCTGACATTCCAGACACGTGTGAAGTGTATGATTGAGAAAGGTACTTAGTTTCATTGTATGTGGGAGTGCCCTAAACTAATGTCCTTTTGGACCACCATTATATGTACTCTATCAAGAATTGTAGGTATTCAGGTTCCTTGTCAAGCAAAACTTTGTGTTTTGGGGATATACCTGGAGAATTTTTCCACCACCTCTAAACTAAAGACTTTGATTGTCTTTGGCCTCCTGCAGGCCAGAAGGACAATTGCCATTGCTTGGAAAAACACAGAGATATCCTCTATACAAACATGGATTGAAGAGATGGCAAACTGTGTTACACTGGAAAGACTCACTTATATAGTGAGAGGCAAAGCACGAAAATTTGAAGAAATGTGGGCGTCCCTGATTGATTTTCTTAAACAATAGGATAGACTGCTGGTTTGTTCAGCCTTTGTGTGGCTTGTATTATTATTTATTTAATTTTTGTATTTATTTATTTTTGGGGTGGTCACTTTATGTGACAGATGTCCTTATAATGTTATGTTCTATAATTTGAAAATAAAAAACACATAGGGGGAGAAAAAAACAGGGCAACCTAAGCCATGCGGTCACATTGCTGGTTCCCTGTGGAGCTCTGAAGGAGTCCACTGAAACACTTCAGCTCTTTTTGTTGATGCTGCTTCATTTTTGAGTTGCTCAATCACATTTTTCTAGCTAAAAATGCCCAAAAACCTCCTTTAGCTTCAGGTTATAGCTCCAGGTTTGGTCAGGTAGTTCAGAGCTAACTCTGTTGGCGCCATCGACATATAAATATTGGACAATAGGTTTCCATAGGCCAGGAGCGGCATTAGGCCCGGCTACTTGAGCTGAAGCCCCGGATCTAAAACGTGGAAGTAACATGCAGTACCAAAGTCCAACAGAGAGGGAGCAGCTGGCAGTAGTTTGTATACAGCCTGCCTGAGCCTCCACCACTGAAGAAGAAGCCCTTCAGCAGCCGGCTTCTTCTACACTCTCTGCCTGAAAAGCATGAGTGAAGATGGACATAAGGACGTTTTTTAGACCAAAAGTACAACGACAGAACCCCAGCTCTGATGAGACTGGTGGTGACTCAGGTTTGTGAGTCTTATTTGAAAATATTTGTTGTGCTGCTGGTTTGCCTAAAGTTAGCTTATCAGGTAAAGTTGTTGGAGAAAGAAAGGGAATATTTACTATCATCTCACACTAAACACTAACAGGAACAATATTCTGCCCTGAAAATGCTTAATATGTAGCTTCAGATTAAAAATTATGTGGTACAAGACAAATATATATGATGTTGACTAGTGCGTGTCACTTGTGTGTGTGCGCGCGTGCGCGTGTATGTGCGCGCACATTTGTGTGTGTGTTAAGCCCCGGATCTTCTTCAGTCCTAAATCCGCCCCTGCCATAGGCTCCAATAACACATTTTTGAAGATAAATGGGAGGTGGCCACCACCGCCATTTTGACCGTGTCACAGGTTCTGTCAAGCCCAGACAATTCCACAAAAGGGAAGAGAGGTGGAGCTGAGGGTGGGGCTGTAAGGCTGGGATCAACTGACGACACCCGGTCGAACTAGCTACAAGCTAACCTGAAGCTAACCCAAAGCTAACGCAGAGGTGGGAGCTAAGCTAACGGAGGTAGCAACCTAGCTGCAATCGGAGTTAACTGTGCACAACACCAGAGCTTCTGAGTCAAAGATACGCCGGGCTGACCGCTGGGTAAAACCGGGTGGAACACAGAGGTCTCCCGAGAGCTTCACAAGCCAGCAGCCGCACAGCAGACAAGTGCCGCTGCAATCTGCGATTTGCGCAGAGCTGCCGCTGGGGAGAACCGGGTGGAAAGGTTTCCATCCCAGAGCTCCACAAGCCGACAGCCCGCACAGCAGTCAGAAGCCGCGATCAGACAGAGATGCGCCGAGCTGCGGGGAGGCGAGAACGGGTGGAAAACATCGGTCTCCCGAGAGCTCCACAAGCCGATAGTCGGAACCCAGCTCCACCAACATGTTATATTTCAACCCATTTTCTAAAGTGCAGCATTATGTTAAATACACTGGGGTTTACCCTATTACATTTAAATTTCATGGTTAAACAGTACATGTTAAAATCTAAGCTCAGCTCGGCAGTGACCTAAAATACATAAATATAATTTTACTTACCGAAAAAAATGAAGTGGAGACTCCTTGGACGCTCTATTAGTGCAATTAATGCCACAGCAAGTCGTTTTGTCCAACAATTGCACAAATAATATCTAAAACAGAATACACAAACACAGAGACTCAAAATCCCGGAACAGTTTCCAGGCCAGACCGAGGCTCTACTGAGGCCTTTCCACGGAGCTAGCTCTGTGGTCAAGTGGGTCTGATGCTCATTAATTATACAGAATTTTAGGCTTTTAATACACTTAAACAGAAGAGTGAGAAAAAATTCACCCCCCTCAGAGTTGTCATGAGTGTAAACTAGATGATTTAAACCAAAAACATGTTTTGGTACCAGGCTGTAAACATGTTTATTTCTGCTGTGAAATTGGTATTTTTAACATGGGAGTCAATGAGGATTTGCTCGCTTCTGACACCAGCCCCTAGTGGATGAGAGTGGAACTGTAATTTTTGGTACCTCCGGGATTGCTTCAATTTTTGAGCCGCATTGTGGGGGCCTGGTTGGCGCTAAGCTCCGTGTAGCTTTGGGTTAGCTTTCAGCTAATTTCCTGCTGATCACTGCGGAGGAGGAGCGGAGCTTGAGCTCACGTATTTGGCCCCGGTCGCCTGGCTCCGATTGCTGCGGTCTGAGGCTGCGCTTGTATTTTATCAATGATTTGATAGCTCCTAGCTCTGTGTTTGCTTCGGCGTTAGCTCAGTTGGCTCATAGCTACATTGGGTCAGAGTTTATGGGTGTCAATCATTTGCTCCCACAACCCCATTTTGTTGTTTGGACATGATGAGACGTGTGGCACAGCCAAGATGGCGATTGTGGGAACCGCCCACTTGGTTTCATAATAGACTTTTAGAAACCACAGGGGGGGGGGGGGTGTCCAGTATTTATGTATGTCTATGTGACCATCCTGCTTCCATTGAAATCTGGCAATAATATTGTCTTTAGGAAAATCTTGAAAAGCACGAGCTGAAGATTTTCTATTGACAATTTGCACATAAATGATTTTAATGATACATAAGACATCGTCACTGATTGGCTACCTGCGGCAATGCCTTATTGTGGGAATTTTGAAAAAAATATTTCAGCCGCTGGAAGCATTAAGGATGCTCTTTGGCTTGTTCCAACATGAGATAAGCTTATTTATTAATATTTAAAAAATATTTTATGATGTTTTATTTTTTGTTTTTGGTGTTCAATGATGATTGCTAGTAAATATATGATTATCACAGCATTCCTACATCCAATAATACTTCATTATTCACTACTCTTAATTCTATAAACTAATTGACTTCAGTTATGCTACAGACACGGGAACCAAACTACCACCTACAACAACTGACAAAGCGCTGTGGGTTTCAGCTGCTTTTATTTTAAAATATACACAGCAAATGAACCAGTCCTATGACCTACATAATCTCATTTGTCACTGTATTCACATGGTTTTGTGAACTGTAGCAAGCTTTTCCTGCTCTCTTCTTTCATGCTGGGCACATACCTCATAGTATCAAATTCAAAGATCCCGTCATTAGCCCAAGTACCTGTTTTGTGTGTGTGTTCGTAGAATGGCATCCCTCTCAGAGCAGTTGCAGGAAGTGCGGGATCAGGCTGAAGTGTGTCTGTACTCTGGGGGCAGAGTGGTGGATGTGCGTGCTGGGGTAATGGCGATGGCTAACCTGCCGTTACCGCCCTGCTCCAAATATCGTCACATTGCAGCTGAGACCATGGTCATAGAGAACAGCTCTGGGAGCAACAGGAAGGAGGTGAGAACAAAGAACCTCGTTTCACTTTAAAAGGCCAAAAAACATCAATACAACACAACACAAGGTGACTAAATCCAGTCATTTAGTTGTAACTAGAGATGTCAAGTTCCGATATTGATATCGGATATCAGCCCACAAAACACTGTATTGGATTGTATCGGACTGCATCAAAAATCTCCGATATTAGCAGTAGGCTACGTTCCGCTTTAAATTCCATTCCAGCAATTCCCTCCAGCAGCGCCCAGATCCAGCATGCAAAGTCCACGTGATCAGAACAGTGTGTGCTAGCAGAGTAGCAAGGAGCGATGTCAGCCATGTGGCTGTATTTTTTGTTAAAGTCCGAAAAATACAGTTTGGCTCAGTGCAACACTTGTCATGCATCAGTTTCCCGTGGTGGAACAGAACTGGGGAAGATTAATACGTCCAACCTCATCGTGCATTTGAAGCAGGATCACAAAACATTGCTTGAGGATTTTCTCAGTGTGTGAAATTTAAACTTTAGACTCTCAACTTGTAGCGGTTGGTCAATGAACAATATCGTCTTTTTTTCCTTATGTCCCTAACCTCAGCTGTTTACATTTATGCAACCAAAGGTTAATAAAAATTGGTCAGTTTTTTATTCTTACTGTTCCTGGCTTTTGTTTTCTGTTTGAGTAAAATCACTTGATCAAGCCTTTTCTACATTCCACATTATGAAATAGGTAAAAGTATGTGTAGAGAGATGATTGTTGTATGTATTTTGGTGCTTTTAAAGCTTAATATACTACTCTACACTTTGACCAATGTGATGTGATATTCCATATAAATATGGAAATCCAGTCTGATTGGTCTTTAATGTTTAACCAGAAGATTTAGAAATCTTTGTTTATTCATGAATTGTAGAACACTCTGTATTGATTCAAGAAGAGAGTCAGGTTTATAAAAAGTAAGAATTTATTTTCCAAACAATTTAAAACATGACAAGTTAACTAATATTTACTGTGATGATGGATCTAGGTGGATGGAACGTGATGTTTGGTGACTATATGAGGTTATCAGAACTTTCGTATCTAGAAGAACTGAGTTCTGGGTGTCAGAAGAATTGGTTTGCATTAAACCATGAAGTTGGCTCTTGTCAAAAAGGCATCAGACGCAATCTGTCATGTCTATGTACCCCAAGTGGAGTCTCTCTTTTGGATCTGAGATGTCGAGGGTCGGGTGACCCCAAGGTACCGAAGTCCGTAGGAAAACTGCAGTACGATCAGGTCAGTCCAGAGTCATCTCCAGGTCACGACAGGTTGGAACTAGTTTGTGTCTAGAAGGACTCTTAGGGAGTCAGAACACTATCAGCTTTGTTCTGCAGGAACCGTTTGCTGTGTCAGCGGTTGGCAGCTTTTAGCAGGGTTTTGACAGCTTGTCAAAAATGCTCTGGGTTAAAGAGGTTTCGCTTCGGACGGCCGTTCCGTAGCCTTCTCTAAAACTGAGTCATCGTCTCGTGAGCTGTTTTAATATTCTCATATTATGAATTCTTGTCCAATCGGAACGTGCCATGTTAAGGGATATTACCAAGAAAACCTCAGAACATCACGCCTTCTTTCAGATACCAGATGCCCTGATTAGGGGTAAAGAAATATCTATGTGTCATGAGTTTAACTTAACCTTAGTTGACCTTGTCATATCAAACATTACTGATTACCATATATATAAATCATTCAATGTAATCATTCATTTCATTTCAAACTTTCAGTAGTTCAAGCACAGATTAATCTAATATTATTGATCATTTCATATAACATTTGTTCTTTCCATTGCACAATTGATTAACGCATATGAGCTGAAAATAGTCACTCTTATAACAGTCCAGTCTGGCCTAGATAACCAGGCAGGCTTGGCACAGAAGGACCTTGAGCAGGGAACAGTTTGTTGACAGTATGTTATCATGTGTTCCGAGCTGCAGAGAGGCCCGGACTCCAGCTGATGGAATGGCAGGATCCGGCAGATTAAATGCCACAAATGTAGTCTCCTGTCTCCATATCACCAAACACTGGAGGGGTCAAACTGTACATGAAAAGTTGACCATTTCTGGACATTACATATGTATTATTTGCGCTGATAACATATCGGATTGACATTGGTAAATACTGAAGGCTGCAATATCGGTATCGCATCGGAAGTGAAAAAAGTTGTATCGGGACATCCCTAGTTGTAACAGTACACTTATACATAGCAAATGGTCATGGTGCAGATTTCAGTGTGGAGGTAATCAGATGAGTCAGAGGTCAGCCACAGGAAGTCATAGAACACAGAACACACTTGTTTCTAATACAAGCTCCAAACAGAAAAGGAAATTCAAATTTTAACAATCGATGATCACAATCCGATCCAATTCAATCTGTTCCAGTTCGATATTGATATCGGTCAGTGCTATTAAAGTGATTTTCTGAGCTGTTACATTAATTGTATGCCCACAGTTCAATGATGCAACACTGGGTGAGTTACAGTTCACCGGCGGAAACTGTATTAACCCTTTCAGACCTAAACCTTAAAGTGGCCACCTAGATTTGTCCTTCCAATTTTAGCTGTAAAAAGGGCAAATTAAAAAATATTTTTGAACTTATGAATCAATTCAATACGATTCTTGGAATTTTTATAGGAATTAATTCAGAATAGTCTTTTTCGGTTTTAACAAAGCAGCGCTATTTGAGACGCCATATTCCTTAAATACCCCCAAATACCTAGAGAGACATAGTTGTAAACCCTCCAAGTCAAAGATGCACACAAAGACTGGTTGGTGAACTCCTATTCATCCTAAATTAGCTTTGCAATATTTCAAGATGGATTTTAGACAGTTTCACCACCCAGATGAAAAGCATACTAGTCGTCTTCAATCCGAGGTCTTACTATGTGTGATTTTGTCCTCCAGCACCCTGGTAAAGACCTTTAAAAGTGAAGCAATTAGGAGACGTTTTGGCCCCGGTGTAGACCCAACTTTAGGGAGCACACATGGCTCATATTCCATACATTTAATGTTGAAATATTTGGTAATGAAAGGGCAAAGGGGTGGCTTGTACAGACAAGTATTTAAATCAGTATTCAACAGGACCAAACTAATAGCTTAAGTTTCATGTTGTTTTTCCACTAAAATAATCCAACTTGTGTTCCTCCTACACAGACTCTAGCTTCTCTCCAGAGTTTTTCTACAGCACTGAATATCCTGGAAAAGTATGGCTGTAATCTGACCAATCTCAACAGGCCAAAGTACTGGAGAACAGTGAAACACAACAATCCTGTGTTTAAGGCAACTGTGGACTCCATTCAGGTAACTAAAGGACAAATGACCTGCACTTATTTAGTGGCTTTCTGAGTCAGAGCACTCCAAAACACTTTACACTGCAGTGAATCATTCACACACACACACACACACACACACACACACACACACACACACACACACACACACACACACACACACACACACACACACACACACACACACACACACACACACACTGATGGTGATGAGCTACATGTAGCCACAGCTGCACTGGGGCACACCAACAGGAGTGAGGCTGTCAAACACCGGTCCCTCCGACCACCATCAGCAGCCAAGGAGGGCCACAGAGCAGAACCTTCTCTTCACACCAGATGATCCTGTTCTCTTGTCCTAGTAGGGCTGGGCGATATGGCCTAAAATCAATGTCATTATATATTGAGGATTTCACCTCTATAACGATAAATGGACGATAATTACAAGTATGCGCAAAAACAAAAGTTGTCCACTAGATGGGGCTGTCACATGTATTACATTGAGTCACATTTTTACGTGACTTAAGGTGGTTCAGCTTCTTAAAGGGACAAGAACGTTGCCAACCCACACACATCTTCATTTTTTTATTGTCAAATTTATTGACATGGGAAAAATTATCTTGATAAGAGTCAAAAATTTTGATAACGATAAATTTTTTATTTATTGCACAGCCCCATGTCCTAGACAAAAAACATTAGATTACCACTACTGTAGCATTATCCAAAAGCACAAACTCTTGACTTTTGATACTTTTCTATGTTTCGCTAATGCTTGTTTAGCATATGAATAACCTTGCTGCACCTCCATTATAGGAGTTCATATCATTACTTCCTGAAAGTAGAACCACTAGAGTAGGGCTGGGCGATATGACGATTTTAGACCGTTTTACGATCTACACATCTGACGGTCTGTCATTTTTGAGAGACCTTTTTATCACGATTCACAGCTCTGCTGTTGAATTTCTGCCTCTGAATGAAAAGGGAACTTACCTCACCCCGGGTTTCCACGGGAGCCGTCAGCAGCACGTTACTGCAGCAGCACGTCTTGCTCGCGTAAGCTGCTGCTCGGCCCTTCCCACGAGACGCGAAGCAGCAGGGGAGCAGCTGTCACCGACCGAGCACGAAGTCACACGAGTGACTTCGTCAGTAAACACAACAACAAGCAGGAGAAAACTACAACATGGTTTGTGTTTTATGTTCTGTCCGTTTTATAATGGCCAATACGGACCTGAAAAACAAAGGAGACCGCTAGCTAGGTGATAACTTCTCACGGGGACGCACAGTTAGTAACCTTTTTTAAAGTAAAGTGACCAGAAGGCAGTACGTTCTTTATTCTGAAAATCTCGGGAGCTTCTCTCCATTTCCGCGTCCGATTTCCTGTCTTTCCTTCCCCAAAAATGTCGAACTTGACCCGTTTCAGAGGCGTCGCGCGTAGAAAATAGAACCGGCGCGTAAAGGCCGCGACATGCTGCTCCTGAGACGCGGCCGACTCGCGCTGCTGACGGCTGCTGACGGCTCCAGTGGAAAAGGTTCTGTTGACCACAGCAGTTCCTATCAGCAGCTATGACGTGCTGCTGCAGTAACGTGCTGCTGACGGCTCCTGTGGAAAGCCGGGGTCAGGCGAATGACACGCCTTTGTTTGACCCTTAACCAATCAGAGTGAGTCATAGTAATATATTAGTGCCCCGCTTGTTTTCACCTGTGTGTGAACAAACATGGCTTCGGCCGCGGCTGAGAGCGACAACGAGGTTTTCGTTCCGAAGAGGAACGCAGGGTTTCCTTAGTGCGCGGCGCTAACAACTTAGCGATGTGACATGCTTTGGGGAAAGCGTAAAAACACGTTGGACGCTTCTTATGAAGCAGGAAAATAACACCGCTTCTTAAGCAGAGCATGACGCCGCCTCGTCCACCCTCTGCCAAGCCGGTGTCGGTACCGGACTGAGCTCGGTCACTGGGTCGTTGGAGCTGCCCCGTGACTGCCTGATGGAAAACCAGCGAGTTTCATCAGACTCGTAAAGTTTCTTGTTTTTGCTGGGACCCCCTGTATTTTACCGCTCCCTCCTGCAGTCTTCCCCTATTACAATTTAAAATGATTCTGTAAACTCCGTGTATCAACAGAAACAATCTCTGCTTCTGCCAGCTGCAGTAAATGTAGTTTCCAAATAATAAATCTCCAAATAATTCATCTGTGTATCTCCTTTCATCCGCATTAGTGATATTCTCAGCACCAGAACAGTGAAGCAAAGAAAGATTCCTGAGTTTGTTAGTAATTTTATTTATTAGGTGCATCTAACCTGTTCTATTTTTCTCTGAAATGAGATCAAATCAGTGCTTCTATGGGTTGTCTCCAATCTGCACTGGAAAATTTTACTTTATTTAGAGACTTGTTGCAGAAAATATTCAGAATGCGCAGTTATTTGCGACCACAAGCGATCTCTGGTCCAGCCGCACATCAGAGCCGTATTTGAGCTTAACTATCCACTACATGAGCAACTGGGAGCTACATAGTATTTTGAACAAGTTAATGTTTGCACAATACGTTTGCAATTGACATGTTTGCACTTTAAATATGTTTACGATTTTAATTTATGTTAAGTTACTTGAAAAACGAGAAAAACTGATTTTTGTAATTGTTTCTCTCAGGGCTTTTATCATCTCTGGTGTGAGTTTAAAATATAAGTGTGTTAGCACTGTGTTTATTATCCCTAATATGAATAAATGTTTATTTATTCAATGTTTCTCTTCTTTAATACGCAATTGAAGTTATGCTATTCATGGGTAAAAAATTGTGATAAAATCGAAATCGTGATAAAATATTGGAAAAATCGTGATATTCTATTTTTGCCATATCGCCCAGCCCTACACTAGAGCGACCAGTGGAGGTCACTGTGCTGGACAGTACAGACGTACTGAGGTTGGCAGATCAGCATGTTCTGGAACCTCCAAGTTCTGGAAGTCAGTACCAAAGGAGATCAGATACAGTAGTACATTTACTGGTTGTAAAAATAAGATAAAATCATGGCTGAAATCTACTCAGTCATGCACCCATTAATCGTAACTTCCCCAAACCTTTAATTGCATATTAATACTGTATTAGGGCTGCACAATATTAGGAAAACCTGTGATATTCGATAACAGTGCTTAATATTGCGATATCGATATTACTCACGATAAATGAACAAATACTAAAGTATGCAGTGTTGATGTCGTCTGGCGAGTGACGGCTGCTCTGGGTTCAAAGCAAACAAAAACTAATGCATGAATTCCATTACAACATAACATTTTTATTGAATAAATATGCAGCTGCACCTGCTACTGTATTAGCAGCAGCACCTGCTACTGTATTAGCAGCTGCACCTGCTACTGTATTAGCAGCAGCACCTGCTACTGTATTAGCAGCTGCACCTGCTACTGTATTAGCAGCTGCACCTGCTACTGTATTAGCAGCTGCACCTGCTACTGTATTAGCAGCAGCACCTGCTACTGTATTAGCAGCTGCACCTGCTACTGTATTAGCAGCTGCACCTGCTACTGTATTAGCAGCAGCACCTGCTACTGTATTAGCAGCTGCACCTGCTACTGTATTAGCAGCTGCACCTGCTACTGTATTAGCAGCTGCACCTGCTACTGTATTAGCAGCTGCACCTGCTACTGTATTAGCAGCTGCACCTGCTACTGTATTAGCAGCAGCACCTGCTACTGTATTAGCAGCTGCACCTGCTACTGTATTAGCAGCTGCACCTGCTACTGTATTAGCAGCAGAACAACAAACTGCATGCATGCAGCTTCTCAGTGACTTTAAAACGTCACCTCCACCATAAAACTTTTTCTGATGCTCCAAATACAGAAAAACATCCCTTACCAGGGTTTTCTGAATAAATAAAAAAATCTGAAATAAGTTTAAATGTTAAATTATAGTTAACATCACTTAAATGCAACAGCAAATTCTCTCATTGCTACTGAGCATTTTCTCCACTTACTATGTGGTTATGATATAAGGCTGTTGCTGCAACTGGGAAGTGAACTGTGCTGGGCCAAACTAGGAGAATATTAAGATTTTTTGAGGGAAAGAGAAAAACAATTGTCTACCTTTCAGAAGAGGAACTGAAAAAAAAAACTACATGGAAAATATGTCAAAACGTTTGTTTTTAACCCCAAATTGAACAAATTTACCTGGATCTTAAAAGCAGCTCAGATGATGAAACTGCAACTATGATTCTGATAACAAGCTAACAAATTGAAAGATAACCGGCTAGCAGAGCTTCTGACTGACAGTTTATGTGCAGCAGCAAATCAACTATCCTGATAAACAAGGTTATAAAAGCTCATAAATGAACAATCACTTTGATGTGTGGGGGAACTTTTCCAGGCCCTCTTTAGCAGGGTGGGACTGGGAGGAGAGTGCTGTAGCCTTTTAGCTGGAAGCTAACCAGAGCCTGGGGCTAACACTAGCGACATGAAGGTGGGTTGGTTCACCGGCACGTGTCGGAGTCAGCCCGGTAAAAATTATTAACGACACCGAGCGGAGTCACGTTCACGTTTGAAAGCAGCGCTGAATCCAGAAACATCAGCACAAAGTGCGTTCGTTGCTCTGAGCCAGCATGACGAACAAGGGAACGGCGCCGCAAACTCTGTTTGGGTGTTGCTTTCCAAAAGGGTCTATGTAGGGGCGGGCGTTTTACGTGAACGGAACCATCTGTTTGGCCGCATATCAGAAGGACTACATTTGATTGGTCAAATAATACTTCTGCATAAAAAACAGAGCTGGTTTACAAAAAGCTGATGTATGACACGGATGGAAATGTTTGAACCAAACATTTATAGCTGTTTTTGCCGTGTTTTGCGATGGGCCTATCGCACGTCCTGTTATCGCAATCACGATAATTTTTCGATATATTGTGCAGCCCTGTACTGTATTGTTGTGTTTTTCATTACTGTATTTATTTTGTTATGTTTTTATTGTGACATTTAACAGTGTGGAACTCCGAAAGCCTGTTTTATGAGATGATGTATTACTTATATGTGCTGCTGGATTAATTGTATTGTATATTTCTTCCAGCCCAGGGGCTACAGATGAAATTTAGCTTATGGCTAATTCTGGTATGGCTGAATGCCATGCACTGTCCCTGTCGAACAAACAAATAAAATAAAATAAAATAAACCCTCATGCTGACTGCAAGCTAGCACAAGTCTGAGTCTATTTTTATGTATGGCTATTTACCTTGGTTATGGCTGAACTTGTAGGGTGGACGAGCAGTGCTCTGCCTGTATGGTTACTCCAATCAGCAGCCAGATGGCCTGAGCTTTCCTGATGACGTGGGAGATCCTGATGTGGGGAGGGTTGCGTCAGTGACACTTGAAGTAATGAGTCTACGGATGGAAATAGAAATGCTTATCAAGGTATGTGGTTTGTCACAATTTACTGCTACTTACATTAACGTGTTCAGGTATTTTTTATACAAAGTGTCATACTGTCCGTCTGTCAGTGCTCATTTGCCTACCTGGGTCCGGGCCACACTGGTAGTGTAGGAGCCAAAAGCTGTGTTCCATGTATGTGAGGTTTAGCATCCTGTTTTTCAGTCCAACTTGCATAACTTCCAGTAAGACCAACAGTTATCTGACCATATTGGGTAGCAGAGGTGACAGGGCTTGCTGGCTAACATTTATCTGACCATATTGGGAAGTAGATGTCACGATCTGCCCCTTCCCTCCTGACTGTGTCTCTCTCCTGCCCCGATTAGTCCATATTGTTTTCACCTGTCCCTCGTTAACCTGCCCATGTTTTCCCAATTAGCCTTGTGTATTTATACCACCTGTTTTGCTCCTGTCCTTTGTCAGATCATTGTTGTTTGTTGTCATCGTTGTGTTTGTTCCTGCCGTTTCCGTTCAGTAATTAAATTCGTTTTTACGTTATCCGTGCCTGCTCTTCTGCCTCCGGAACCCACCACCACACATGGTCCACCATCTCCACCCGCAGAACGTGACAGAATGATCTGACCAACCTGGACCTGTGGTGAGCTACCATCTGTTTTTGGAGGATTATTTTTTCTTTTTCTCCTTTTTCAGTGGAGGTAGATTCCGGCCTGAGGGGCTTCGGCGCATCCTACAGGTTTTCGGGGTGGTCGAGCCCGTTTGGGAGATTTTGACGCATCCTACCTGTTCCCGTGGTGGTCAGAATCATTTCTCCTCTCCTGCTGTTTCGCCCCGTCCTGTTTTTTCCCACGGAAGCTGCGGATCCTGGAGTTTTGGTGAGATAAACACCCCTGCGCACGCCAGCGTTCTTCGGAGTGGTAGGGCTGGTCTTCCTGCTCCTTTCCTGCTTCCCTTCACCCGAGCCTCCACCGATGGACCCAGCAAATCGGGAAGTGCACCTGCTCTGACCAGATGTCGAGTACATGCCGCCGAGCTGGGCTTCCTCGCGTCTCTCCCGCTGTTCAACCACTTCCTGGTCCACGCCTGCGGGGCCTACGCCTGCAGGTCCTTCTGGCTGCAGCCTTTTCAAGTGTCCTGCTACTGCAGCCCAAACCAGAGCTCATGGAACTCAAAGAGCCCTCAGAAGCCAGAGTAGTGCCGCCTATATCAGAGGCCCCTGCTCTGCCGTCCCAGTGTTCGAGTTTCAAGAGTTCCTGTGTGTCCCGAGTCAAGAGTTCCTGTGTGTCCCGAGTCAAGAGTTCCTGTGTGTCCCGAGTCAAGAGTTCCTGTGTGTCCCGGGTCAAGAGTTCCTGTGTGTCCCGAGTCAAGAGTTCCTGTGTGTTCCCAGTCAAGAGTTCGAGTGTGTCCCGAGTCAAGAGTTCGAGTGTGTCCCGAGTCAAGAGTTCGAGTGTGTCCCGAGTCAAGAGTTTGAGTGTGTCCCGTGTGTCCCTAGTCAAGAGTTCGAGTGTGTCCCGAGTCAAGAGTTCGAGTGTGTCCCGAGTCAAGAGTTCGAGTGTGTCCCGAGTCAAGAGTTCGAGTGTGTCCCGAGTCAAGAGTTCGAGTGTGTCCCGAGTCAAGAATTCGAGTGTGCCCCGAGTCGAGAGTTCGAGTGTGTCCCCGAGTCAAGAGTTCGAGTGTGTCCCCGAGTCAAGAGTTCGAGTGTGCCCCGAGTCAAGAGTTCGAGTGTGTCCCGAGTCAAGAGTTTGAGTGTGTCCCGTGTGTCCCTAGTCAAGAGTTCGAGTGTGTCCCGAGTCAAGAGTTCGAGTGTGTCCCGAGTCAAGAGTTCGAGTGTGTCCCGAGTCAAGAGTTCGAGTGTGTCCCGAGTCAAGAGTTCGAGTGTGTCCCGAGTCAAGAATTCGAGTGTGCCCCGAGTCGAGAGTTCGAGTGTGTCCCCGAGTCAAGAGTTCGAGTGTGTCCCCGAGTCAAGAGTTCGAGTGTGCCCCGAGTCAAGAGTTCGAGTGTGTCCCCGAGTCAAGAGTTCGAGTGTGTCCCCGAGTCAAGTGTTCGAGTCTCTAGTCAAGTGTTCGAGTCCCCAGTCAAGTGTTCGAGTCCCCAGTCAAGTCTTCAAGTCCCCAGTCATGTCTTCGAGTCCCCAGTCATGTCTTCGAGTCCCCAGTCAAGTGTTCGAGTCCCCAGTCATGTCTTCCAGTCCCCAGTCAAGTCTTCCTGTCTCGAGTGTTGTGTGGCCTTGTGGGCGTCTGGTATCCGCCCCTTAAGGGGGGGGTACTGTCACGATCTGCCCCTTCCCTCCTGACTGTGTCTCTCTCCTGCCCCGATTAGTCCATATTGTTTTTACCTGTCCCTCGTTAATCTGCCCATGTTTTCCCAATTAGCCTTGTGTATTTATACCACCTGTTTTGCTCCTGTCCTTTGTCAGATCATTGTTGTTTGTTGTCATCGTTGTGTTTGTTCCTGCCGTTCCCGTTCAGTAATTAAATTCGTTTTTACGTTATCCGTGCCTGCTCTTCTGCCTCCGGAACCCACCACCACACATGGTCCACCATCTCCACCCGCAGAACGTGACAGTAGAAGCAGCACCCAAACTCAGTTTCCATTTCCTAAGATATGCAGGAGTGACGTCAGTAAAAAGTATAACTGGAATGCATTCTCGGTGTAAACAGGCTTTCTAGAAGATTCAGCTGGAGGCTCTGGTCGTCCTGGCTGAACGTTGTCCCAAATACTGGTTTTGTATGAAGCTGTGTTTTACAATAAAGCCCCACATTGTCAAGGATGAAAGTGTCTCATTCTCTTGTGTTTTGACAAGGAAAAGAACCACAGTAGCAGCCCAGCAGAGAGGCCCAACAACCTCCACCACTTCCCCTGGTGGGACCCCAGTGGTGTAGTCTCCAGAGCATCAGCTGCTCTTAAACAGCCAATCAGACAAGCCCAATGAAAGCTGATTATTAATTACCGGTATCTAATTGTAAGAAATACACAATGTACATGTGTAATAAAAACTTTATTTAACATTTGAACAGCTAAAGACAAATACATAAAGAAAAATGAATTAGATAATGAATAAAAATAAAGATAAAATGAAAAAAATAAACATATTTATACAAAGTTTCAAGTACAAAAACGTGCAAACCCCGCAAATAAACTAAAGTAACTGCTTAGAACCCCATCTAAAGGAACGTCTGATTTTCAACCTTTTCTGAGTTATGACAAAACCTCTAAATGTGTTTAGACTCCAGCTTCTTTGGGGCACATTTTCTCTTTGCTTCCATGGCAGGGTGGTTGGTGGTCATGTCATAGAACTGTGCTGATGCACATTTTCCAGTGGTTATATGGAAATGCAAGTCTTTTTCTAGTGATTATATGATGTATACCTGCGTATCACATAGACTACACCACTGTGGGACCCCAAAACATTTCTTGGCCAACGTGACCACTCCGTCCAGCATGTCCTGACCCAGAGACCTTCTGCCTTCCAGACATGCCCGAAACACCTTACCTCCCCGTCTCTTCCCTGATATCTCATTACCTCCTTCTCTCAGTGGTGAACAGGAACCCAAGATAATTAAACTGCCTTGTTTTAGGTAGGCCTTCCCTGGTTGAGAACCATGGTCTTGGATTTGGAGATGCCTGCATAGACGTTTGACTACTACTCCGGAGATTGGTCGATCCATTCCTAGGACCCTAAGCTCTGGTTCCCCATCGGAACGCATGTTGTTTGGATCAAGAAGCACCATCAGAGTATTTCCACAGAAGACTTCGATAGCTCTCCAAAGGAACAATCTGCTCTCCGCCTCAGACAAACAGCAAGTAGTCGTTTCCCATTTGGAGGCGATCAATAATCATCTTCCACATCCTCACCAAACTCCTCCCACGCTCAAGATTTAGCCTCAGCAGCATCTTGCCTCTCTGATAGTTGTCGTCCAAGCCCCGCCCTCTCATGCCATAAATTTATCAAATCAATCAAAGATACTTTATTAATCCCAGAGGGAAATTAGAGTTTCAGTACACACAATACAGAGATCAGACATACATGGGCAAGACACATGACAAGAATTGGTGACTGTGGTCATTTGCAACCCTGAGTTGCGCTACCTTAATAGAGATCAGAGGGTTACATGAGGATTGGTTCAGGTGGAGGGAAAAAAAAGGCACTTCAGAGCTACCCTCCCACCAGGAGGGCAGCTTTGCTCTGCAAAAAAAACACCTCAGACAGATATGCAACAAACTTCAGACAACACAACATAAGTGTCCACTAGGAGGGGTGGTAGGTTGGGACTATCCCAGCTTCAGCTCCTGCAGCCACGATAGAAGCAGCGCATTTCACCTCAGTTTGGATGGGGGGGGGTTGGAGGGTTGTAGTGACCCTGGGCGCTTCAGCGGCCTTCCCGCTGTCCCACCCAGGCTGGGAAAGGAGGCAGAGTTGAGTTGCCATTGCGACGGCACATTCCACATATCTTCTGAGGGGGAAGTTTTTGTTGGAGCCTTGCAGGCTCAAGGACGCCAGATTCTGATTAGAAATTGTTTTGGGGCCAGACGGAGATAATTTCCTCTCTGTCTTACAGTTTGTTGGTCCTCAACCTCTCCGAATCCCAATAATGGACATTAATCTATCCCAAACCGTGCTGATTCGTCCACTCTCTCCTTGATGGCATCCATCTTTTGTGCCAAAAATGAATCTCCGCCAAAGTCCCAAGCTTACAATTCATCTTGGCAATTATTTGAATCTGTGAATTCACAGCGCGGTGCAAACCATCTCTGAGCTCCGGGATCAGGCCAATATTCCTCGACAGCTCGTTAATTTTCCGGTAAGCCAGGTAGCCTCCAAGGCCAATGAGCAGGAAACCCGACACCAACACCACGAATATCCACACATCTTCAGAGTCCTCCACAGACAGCTGAGATAAACAAATTAAGTTCCACTGTTTCCAGGAGTCCATGATGTGTCCTACTGGGTCTGTATCGGCAGGGAATCCGGGAGCCCCTTCTCCCATTCTCATCGTTGAAAAAATGTTATCAATCGAGTTGAGAGACCAGCTAACGAGATCCATTTAAATGTATTTCAGTTTCCAGTTTCCAGAAAAATGCAGAAGCAGCCGTGCACACACAGACAGACAAAAGCCTTGAGGATATGATATGGAGGAGAGGCGGAAAACAAGCGTCTGCACTCGCCAAGAGCCAGAAGAAAATGAGAGTGACTGGAAGTCATGGAGTGATGAAACTTGGTGACGGATGACGTCCTCATTTCTCTGTTGTATTTTGTTAGGGGTTGGATGAAAAACAGTTATCCATAACTGTGTATTTTATAGTAAATTTCTAGTTTTATGAAGATGTTGGAAACCATAGATCTGTTAGTGAGGTTGTTTTCTTTTTTAACCTGCAACATCGCCCCGTGTGTTTCCTCCACGCCAAGTACTGATGGTATTTGCTCTAAAACATCTTTTCTGATTTGATTTCAGGACACTCATCCTCATCCAGAGTTCTATGAGAGAATCGTTCCTACTCTACGGCACAAGGTGGAGTCCATTATTGTCTAGCTCTCATCTTTCTTATCTGAACGTCTGGTTTCAGGGGCGTGGCACTGGCCGTGGCAGTCCAACACTAAGAAAAGACCATTTCAGTGATCGTAACAGAAATTAGAATTCAATTATTCTTTATGAAACACGTTCTTTTGAGTTACTTTCCATATTAGCTCATATTAAAATCATGTTAAACTGATTCTTTTCATATGAAGAGAAAAGTTTTGGTTCCACGTAGTGGAATGGTCTGGGTTGGAACGGGTCACCACGGGCCAGTATTGATAGTTAAACCTGTCCTGTAGATCTGTTGCTGAAGACATTGAGGAACGTTTGTACAGCCGTTCTTGCTCCTGACTGTTTTAAAAGTTTTAAACCTCAAGTATTTAGAAACAAAAATTAAAGCACTATCTTGATAATTGCTGAGCTGGGATTTTTCTTCTGCAGCGCTCGCTTGCCTCCAGTGTTACATTCTGCTTGAGCTGTGTTGCTGATTTAATGCAGCTTAGTCACTGTGTTAGTACACATTTACACACACGCTGTCACAGGAGACCGTAACACTTTCACATATACACCGTATTGACCCGAATATAGGACAACCCCCCTTTCCAAGACTAATCTTCAGGAAAAGAAGAAAAAAAATCACTTTTCAAATAAACTATTTTTATTGAAAATTTGAGAACAAATACTGAGCAAAAATACTATTTTAATGCAAACTATCAGAACTTTGCAGACATGTGAAATCAAAAGTCAAATGAGGCCTCTGCCTCACTGTACTCACTCACTCTCATCCTGCTGCAGTCCCGGTGTCCCATCAGATCGCTACACCTGCTGACTCCTCCCAGAACGCCATCCTCTCTGCCGTCCAAGGCATCCATGCATGCAATTTGTGACGCCTGTGCTGAATTGACCACAGTCGTCTTAAAATGGCCATAACTCTGCTTTAGTAGCTAGTTAACTTGACCCACTTTCAGTCCACTCTGCTCCAGAACTCTTCTCAATTTTTTTCTCCTAAGAACACACAGTCTGGCGCCCTCTGCTGTTATTATTGTGTAATGACCCCAGCAAAATATCACACGTAAAAGCTTAGATCCCGATTATAAGACGACCCTACATTTTAAAATTATTTTCAATGAAAGAAAACCTCGTCTTATATTTGGGTCAGTACGGTAGTTGAAGTCAAAGTGAAACTCATCCCGACTTCTGTGCTGTTTGTCTCCATCCAGGATGTGGGTCTGAACACGGACATAGCCTGTGATTCCTTTCCTGCCTCGTGCCATCCAGACAGTCAGACCAGGTCACTGGCCTTCCCTCTGCACCACGGCTCCAGCAGGGACAGCAACCATGGACTTTCACTCTCTACAATCAAAACGGTCAAATTCACTAAGAAATGTTTCACCTCATCAAACAAGCACTCAGGTGATGACCTGGTGGTGTCGGTGCCTTTTACTTTGGGTTCATGGGACAGGTCTTCATAGAAATTAGGACTTTCAGTGTTCTGAAGAAAGCTTCAGTCTCTCTGATGAATGACTCATTTTACTGATAAATTTCTATTCAAATGTCCATGTCCTAGTAGAGGAACTGTTGGTAAATATTCACTTTTTCATTAGGGCTGTGAATTAAGATATTTTATCACTTTTTATCGCAAGTTAATGTCGGGTTATACATGACAGGGTATATTCATTTTTCTATTGAGCATATGCGGTCAAATATACTTTATACAAATTTATTTGTTATTGCTATAATCCAAAAGAATGACAACTACTGCCTAGTGTGTACAGAAATACCTCAAAATGTCAGAACCAGAACCTGGAGTGAATCGGACCCAAGAATTCAGCCAACACCACCAGAATGAAGCAGTAATAGTTTATT